TCAATGCCACAGGATCCCTCTGTCCCCTGGGGTTCCCCAGATTTTGGAGTGTCCTGCAGTCCCTCAATGCCACAGGATCCCTCTGTCCCCTGGGGCTGCCTGGTGTCCCCCAATCCCCCGGACCCCCTTTGTCTCCCGCTGTTCCAACACCCTGGGGAGCCCGGGGCTCCCTGGATCCCCTGGGATCCCCCTGCCCCCGGGCTGCCCCGCGGGGGTGTCCCGGGTGCCAGCTGTGCTGTGCCCAGGCGTGGTGTACGACACCTTCATGCTGAAGCACCAGTGCACCTGCGGGAACACCACCATCCACCCCGAGCACGCCGGCCGCATCCAGAGCATCTGGTCCCGGCTGCAGGAGACGGGGCTGCTGGGCAAGTGCGAGGTGAGGGGGGCTCCCCACGTTCGGGGGCGTGGGGGCGGCGCGGGGAGCCCGGCGGGCTCAGCCTGTGCCCCTTGCCAGCGCATCCGGGGCAGGAAGGCGACGCTGGAGGAGATCCAGACGGTGCACTCGGAGCACCACGCGCTGCTCTACGGCACCAGCCCCCTGAACCGCCAGAAGCTGGACAGCAAAAAGCTGCTGGGTGGGTGCTGGGGGGTCCCCGATGCCTGGGACCCCCCGTCTCTGCAGCGGGGTCACCTCGCTGCCCCGTTCCTTGTGATCCCTCTGTTCCTTGGGATCCCTCTGTTCCCTGTGGGTCCCCATCCCCTGGGGTGTCCAAGAGAGTCCGTGTCCCATGGGGGTCCCAGTCCTTGGGGTGTTCAGGGGTCCCAGGGGATCCCTCTGTCCCCTGGGGTTCCCAATCCCTCGGGGTGCCCAGAGCTGCCCTTACCCCACGGGATCCCCTTGTCCCCTTGTCCCCATCCCTCGGGGTGCCCAGAGCTGCCTTTACCCCACGGGATCCCCGTGTCCCCTTGTCCCCATCCCTCGGGGTACCCAGAGCTGCCTTTACCCCACGGGATCCCCTTGTCCCCATCCCTCGGGGTGCCCAGAGCTGCCTTTACCCCACGGGATCCCCGTGTCCCCTTGTCCCCATCCCTCGGGGTGCCCAGAGCTGCCCTTACCCCACGGGATCCCCTTGCCCCCATTCCTCGGGGTGCCCAGAGCTGCCCTTACNGTTCGGGGGCGTGGGGGCGGCGCGGGGAGCCCGGCGGGCTCAGCCTGTGCCCCTTGCCAGCGCATCCGGGGCAGGAAGGCGACGCTGGAGGAGATCCAGACGGTGCACTCGGAGCACCACGCGCTGCTCTACGGCACCAGCCCCCTGAACCGCCAGAAGCTGGACAGCAAAAAGCTGCTGGGTGGGTGCTGGGGGGTCCCCGATGCCTGGGACCCCCCCTCTCCGCAGCGGGGTCACCTCGCTGCCCCGTTCCTTGTGATCCCTCTGTTCCTTGTGATCCCTCTGTTCCCTGTGGGTCCCCATCCCCTGGGGCGTCCAGGAGAGTCCGTGTCCCATGGGGGTCCCAGTCCTTGGGGTGTTCAGGGGTCCCAGGGGATCCCTCTGTCCCCTGGGGTTCCCAATCCCTCGGGGTGCGCAGAGCCCTCTGTCCCCTGGGGTTCCCAATCCCTCGGGGTGCCCAGAGCTCCCCTTCTCCCACAGGATCCCCGTGTCCCCTTGTCCCCATCCCTTGGGGTGCCCAGAGCTGCCCTTACCCCACAGGACCCCAGTGTCCCCTGGAGTTCCCAATCCTTCGGGGTGCCCAGAGCTGCCCTTACCCCATGGGATCCCCGTGTCCCCTTGTCCCCATCCCTTGGGGTGCCCAGAGCTGCCCTTACCCCATGGGATCCCCGTGTCCCCTTGTCCCCGTCCCTCGGGGTGCTCAGAGCTGCCCTTATCCCACGGGATCCCCTTGTCCCCATCCCTCGGGGTGCCCAGAGCTGCCTTTACCCCATGGGATCCCCTTGTCCCCCCCACCCCTTGACCCCGCAGGTCCCATCACTCCGAAGACGTACGCGGTGCTGCCGTGCGGGGGCATTGGGGTGAGTCTGGGGGCAGGGCTGGGGGTGCCCGGGTCCGTGCCCCGCTGAGCGCCGCTGTGCCCGCAGGTGGACAGTGACACGGTGTGGAACGAGCTGCACTCGTCCAGCGCCGTGCGCACGGCCGTGGGCTGCCTGCTCGAGCTGGCCTTCAAGGTGGCCGCGGGCGAGGTCAAGGTGGGCGCGTTGTGTCGCCGTCACACGTGTCCCTGCCGTCACACGTGTCCCTGCCTGTCCCCCGCGTGTCCCAGCTGTGTCCCAGTGCCACGCACGCACCTCAGTGTCCCACATCCCTCTGTCCCAGCTGTGTCCCAGTGCCACACGTGTGTCACACACACACACCTCAGTGTCCCACATCCCTCTGTGTCCCACCTGTGTCCCTGTGTCCCAGCTGTGTCCCAATGCCACACGTGTCTGTCACACATACACACCTCAGTGTCCCACCCATGTCTCTGTGTCCCACCCATGTCTCTGTGTCCCACCCGTGTCTCTGTGTCCCACCCGTGTCCCTCTCTGTCCCCCAGAAT